CGGTTGTTTCAAAGTGCTAGGACACGGTGTGTCGCTGCTTGGCCAGTTTGTCCCTTCTTATTGCTGGAGTAGTACTTCTGGGGTTTGAAGATATCACAGCTTAACCATCACCCGCTGAAAGGACATGGGTTGATTGTGGCTTACTACAATCAAATGCGCTAATGAATGTCCACATTTATTTGTTTTTTTTTTTTTTTTTTTGAGACTGAGTCTCCCTTCTGTCACCCAGGCTGGAGTGCAGTAAGGCGTGCGCGATCTCGGCTCACTGCAAGCTCCGCCTCCTGGGTTCACGCCATTCTCCTGCCTCAGCCTCCCGAGTAGCTGGGACTACAGGTGCCCGCCACTGCGCCCTGCTAATTTTTTGTATTTTTAGTAGAGACAGGGTTTCACTGTGTTAGCCAGGATGGTCTCGATCTCCTGACCTCATAATCCGCCTGACCTCATGATCACTCCCAAAGTGTTGGGATTACAGGTGTGAACCACTGTGCCCGGCCTCACATTTAGATTTTTCGTGTGAACATAAGATTTTATTTATCTGGGATAAATGCCCAAGAGTACAACCGTTGGGTCATATGATAACTGCATGGCTAGTTTTATAAGAAATAACCATTCTTGGCCAGCCGCTGTGGCTCACGCCTGTAATCCCAGTACTTTGGGAGTCCGAGGCAGGAGGATCACCTGAAGTCAAGAGTTCGAGACCAGCCTGGTCCAATATGGTGAAACTCTGTCTCTACTAAAAATACAAAAATTAGACATGGTGGTGGGTGCCTGTAATCCCAGCTACTCGGGAGGCTGAGGCAGGAGAATTGCTTGAACCTGGGAGGTGGAGGTTGCAGTGAGCGAGATCATGCCACTGTACTCTAGCCTGTGTGACAGAGTGAGACTCCAACATAAAAAAAGAGAGCGAGCTAGAAATGACCGTCCTCTTTTCCAGAGTGGCTGTGCTATCTTTTTTCCTTTTTCTTTTTTTTTTTTTTTTTTGAGACAGCGTCTCAGTCTGTCACCAAGGTTGGAGTGCAGTGGCATGAATATAGCTCACCGCGGACTTGACCTCCCAGCGATCCTCCCACCTTAGCCTCCCAAGTAGTTGGGACTACAGGCATGCATCAAGCCTGGCTAATTTTTTTACTTTTGTAGAGATGGGGTCTCCCTATGTTGCCCAGGCTGGGCTAAACAAGCTTACAATCCTACTCACACATATGACTGCAGGTGAGCTTTCAAAATCAACATTTGGTCATGTCACTCCTCTGCTCAAGTGTCTTCAAGGGCTCCTATTGCTCTAAGGGTCCAATCCAAAGCTCACAACTTGGCAACCCTGCCTTCTACCAGCTGACTTTTGGCTTCAGGATCTTTCCACTCCAACCCACACACCTTGGGCCAGCTCTGGACACATCTGCTATTCTTTTTTGTTTGTTTGAGACAGACTCTCACTCTATTGCCCAGGCTGGAGTGCAGTGGCACAATCTTGGGTCATTGCAACCACTGCTTCCCAGGATCAAGCAATTCTCCTGCCTCAGCCTCCCAAGTATCTGGGATTATAGGGGTGCACCACCACACGCCGCTAATTTTTGTTTTTGTTTTTAGTAGAGACAGGGTTTCACCATGTTGGCCAGGCTGGTCCTGACCTCAGGTGATCCACCTGCCTCAGCCTCTCAAAGTGCTGGGATTACAGGCGTGAGCCACTGCACCCAGACTCTTTTTTTTTTGTTTTTTTCTGAGACAGAATCTTGCTCTGTCACCCAGGTTGGAGTGTGTGGCATGATCTCGGCTCACTGCAACCTCCGCTTCCCAGGTTCCAGCAATCCTCCCACTTCAGCCTCCCGAATAGCTGGGACTACAGCTATGAGCCACTGATTCCTAGCTTATTTTTGTATTTTTTATAGAGATAGGGTAATACCATGTTGCCCAGGCTGGTCTCAAATTCCTGAGCTCAAATGATCCTCCTGCCTTGGCCTCCCAAAGTGTTGGGATTACATGCATGATCCACTGTGCCTGGCCACACATCTGCTATTCTTACTCCCTGGACACCCCTCCCACTCCCTCCACCTTCCCCTAACAACCCTTTCAAGCCAAGCTAACACCTTCAGGCCTCAGTTTTACCCTCACTTCTGTTAAGAAGGTCTTGCCTGGCCAGGCGCAGTGGCTCACGCCTGTAATCTCAGCACTTTGGGGGGCCAAGGCGGGCAGATCACAAGGTCAGGAGATCGAGACCATCCTGGTTAACACGGTGAAAACCCATCTCTACTAAAAATACAAAAAAAAAAAAAAAATTAGCCAGGCGTGGTGGTGGGCACCTGTAGTCCCAGCAACTCGGGAGACTGAGGCAGGAGAATGGCATGAACCCGGGAGATGGAGCTTGCAGTGAGCCGAGATCGCACCCTTGCACTCCAGCCTGGGTGACAGACTCCATCTCAAAGAAAAAAAAAAAAGTCCTTGCCTGACTCCAGGTCTGGATAACATGCCTCTCTCCTGGGGTCCTACAGCCCCCTCGACAATGTCACACTCAACAATGTGTGGATACTGAACTAGCAATGCCTGTGATCTCATCTGTAGCCCTGCAAGTCTGCAAATTTTGTTCAGTGTTGTATCTTCAGTACCAGGCATTTGCTGGACGCACAGGAAATAGTTTTTATTTTTATAGGCTGGAGTGCAGTGGCTGCGAATCCTGCTCACTGTAGCTCCGGCCTCCCGGTTCCACACCATTCTCCCTGCTTCAGCCTCCCTGAGTAGCTGGGACTACAGGCGGCCCGCCACCACGCCCGGCTAATTTTTTGTATGTTTTAGTAGAGACGGGGTTTCACTGTGTTAGCCAGGATGGTCTCGATCTCCTGACCCCGTGATCTGCCTTGCCTTAGGCCTCCAACAGTGCTCGGATTACAGGTGTCTGGAGACCCCCACGCTCCAACCGCCCTGGCTAATTTTTTTTTTTTTTTTAGTAAGAACGGTGTTTCACCATGTTAGCGCAGGGATGGTCTTGAATCCTCCTGCACGCCTCCGTGATCCGCAGCTCGCCTCAGCCTCCCAAAGTGCCTGGTGAATCAGACATGACGCCACTGCGCCCACGCCAGAAATATATGTGTCGCTGTAGTA